ATTGGCCAAGTATGTTTATTGTGGCGTAACATTTTTTTGATCATCAATTTACTCAAAATCAATTTATAGTCTCGGAACCCACTTTTAATAGATCAGCTCCCATATGTTCAAATTTAGCATTAACTCATTTTTTATTTTTCGGCAATTTCCCCTTTTTATATTGCAAAGGTCCCATATAGATAAGTATACAATAAAACACTTTAATAAAAGAAATTTTTTTTTACAACTGTTTCATTATGATTAATAATGTTAGAATTTGTGTACCTGCTACATTGTTACAAATTATGTATTTTACTTAAATAATTCTTATTTAAATATTATATTCTAATGCTTTTGTTGTATAAGGTTCATCTTCCAATTTAATTTTTTTATTGCCTTTATCTATTATACATTCAATTATTAAATGTTATTTTTTTTGATTTTTTTTTGAATCGTATAAATTTATTAAAAATATCATACCAGCATTACTTTCAAATATATCGCTTTCAAACTTTCGTTTACCATTTTTTAAAAAAGGAAAAAAGGTTATTAATAATTTTAGCATATTCGAAATGTGTTATTTAACTGGTTGTAAAATAACAATTTTGATTTTAATTACTAAAATCCGAAGAAATCGATTGACTACGTAAACTTTTTGTGGATTCTGCGGAGTTTATCATGCTACTTAAAGATCTACTCTTATAAATAGCGTCTGGATTTATTGTTATTATAGGTCCAATTTCTGATGATTCTACAATACCTGTTGGATTTCTTCGTTCAGATTTATACATGTTCAAAACAATGATACAAGTAGCTAGCCTTTTATTTGGGTTAGGGTCCCAACATTTTTTCATTAGCTCAATATAACCTTCAGGTGCTGCAATATCACCAATTGGAGGACGTAAGCCATCACAAATATCAAGAATCAGCTCAGTATCATGAGCACAATCCCAAAAAGGTCTTCTGCCTGTCATACATTCCCACATAATCATACCAAAACTATAAATATCTGATTTTTTAGTATATTTTTGCCCTTGAAGAACCTCTGGGGCCACATAAGGAATAATTCCATAAGTTTCATTATCGGCAGCTTCAGTAGCAGATTTACTTAATCCTAAATCACCTATTCTAGAATATTTATCATTATATATCAAAATATTTCCACTATGCAAATCACGGTGGATAATACTCTTTTCATGAATTTTTGATAGGCCATATACAATACCATATAAATGAAGTAACTTTGTATCCCAACTAACATCAAAAAAATCTTTAGCTATATAATGGGATAGATCTCCTGTATTATAATATTCTATAATTATAACAAATTCTTTAGTATTAGGATCTTGCGTAATTCTATAATATGAAATAATTCCAGAATTGATACTTCTTAATTGATTAGATATTTTAAGCTAAAAAAAGATTATTAATTTAGTATATATTAATAAATAAAAAAACAAATTAAATAAACTTATGTACCTCGTTTAACTCCTTAGAAGTAAAGCTTTTAGAATTGTTAAGTTTCTTAAGAGCAACTTCTTTATTAGATATACGATTATGCTTTTCTTTCTCTATCATACCAATCCTTCATTGGACCATCAATCCAAGTAACTTTACTAAATCCTCCCGCACCAATAAACTCTATTTTTTTGAATTAATCATATGGAACAACTCCATTCTATTATTATCTTTAAACAAATGAATATGAGTGTATTTGATGAAATCGTCAATAATTTTGTTTCCACTTGAATTAAAGTGTATTGTAGCTTTATAACAAGTACGGCAAAGCTTATTATTTTCTTCAAAGGGTTTTCTTCTTTTTTTACATCCAATGCATTTCACAAATTTATATTTAGTTAATTCAAGTTCGGTTTGCATTTGCTGACTTGACGTGCCATTTGAAATTAAATTGTCAATTTTTTTAAAATTTATTAATTGAAATTGATTCATGATTATTTTTGCAAATTGGTCTAAGGAATTTTACCTATATATACTTTTTGTTCTTTAACATTCTAAAAGGAAATTTCCAAAAAAAGAATTCCATCAATGTCTTCGAAACTTCCAAAAAGAATTACATATTTATTACAGACAATGATCTGTTCAGGATCTGCACAGAACTGAAAGAAGTTCTTAGCAAAAAATTGAAGTTTATTTGTCTTTGTAATAAATTACTAATTTGATTGATTTCCATAGGTGTAAAAATTATTGAATTTAATGTAATGAACAAGCGAAACGAAGGACTAGACATGCCGTTCAAAAAATTGAGAAGATACTATAAATGGTTGATTCCTTCGCTACACTTGTGCTCCGACTTAACCGAACCGTTTCCTAATCATCAGTTTGTTGTTCTAAACATACGTCATCAAAGGTTTTTTTTTAAAAAAAAAAATATCCAGTACAAATACATAATTTTTTTTTTTTTTTTTTGCAAATCCAGATTTAATGCACTTTATAACGATAATTTGATTAAAATTTTTTTCCTATTAGCAAGAACCGTGAACAAATCAATTTCATAAATTTGGAGAAGAAAACAATTTTTTGCTAATGAAATTAAATAACAATGAAATCGGTGGCGCAATATCGCTCACTTTTTCATTTTGATTTTCCATAATTAAAAGTATAGCGATAGATTTGAAAATAATTTTTAAGGTCGTACGTTTAACGAATAAATGCTAATTAAGAGAGGCGAAATTTTCGACTTATAGTTAGGAATTTTGGATTTTGGATTTTGGATTTTGGATTTCAGATATTTTAATAAATACAATTTTTTATTTAATCCAATTATTATTAAATTACCAAATTTTCTTTATGCAGATTTGTTACTCAATAAATCCTACTTTACACAAAACAATCATTACCAATTACATTCACCAAAGTTGAGAAAAATGTATTTGTGGTTTCTTAAGAATCTGATTCTTATCCACTCATTGTAAAGACAACCATTATGAATTCAAGTTCTAAATATAATAAGGCTTTAAAAAACAGTAGCTTGCAATTGAATATTTATTTCGAGCATATCTCCCATACGGAGCAAACTCCTTGCCATATTTTTTGAATGGGTTCGACCTATATCATTCATCAATTAATCTAAATCAGTTCATCAGTAAGTATTACATTATTGAAAAACTTGCTAATAGAATGTCCAAACATTTGTAAATCAAATTAATACATAACAAAATTCCAATATCAAAGCTAAATTTTACAGATCGAATAAATACATTTTCATCATAAATTTCTTCATCCTCGACTTTATTTATTAAATATTCACTCTATTTGATGCGACGACGTTAACTGGCTGGAAAGAATATTATTATGATTATAACAAAAATCAATATGCACAAATTACTTTTGATATATTTGAGATGTTTTATTTTTAAATTCCTTATTTTATTATTTTGAAATTCGATCATATTTATCATACCAGTATTAAAAAAAATAATTCTACCATATTTATTTATTTTTTATTTTTTTCAAGTTTTATATTTACCGTCAGTGGTGATCTTTCACCAGTGTGTGGCGTATCATGTGGTTATAGAAGTTTAAAATAGCTGGAATATTATTAGTTCTAACTTGGTTAGAAAAATACGTTACAGTGTCAACATAGCATTCCTTGATTACAATATTCATACAGGTACAAAGTGATGTTGCATCCTTAAGAGTCAGGTCTTGATGAAGTGTAATATAGGAAACTTGCCATATTTCTTGAATATCATCATTAGATATACCAGACAAGAGAACTTGTAAACGAATTTGAGATATATCATTATATGTAGAATTACATTCTTCTACCTAAGAAACAAATAAAATTAAAGTTAATATGATCGATTGGTGCTAGCTAAGAGTTGACTGAATGACAAACTCTTAGCTAGCACCAATCGCAAATAAAACTAATTTACTTGAGAAATTTGAATCAAATTCCCCTGGTATATAATAGAGCCTGTTTCATTTGAGCTTTTTGAAGGGATAATGAAAAAAAATCACCAACTTTTATTTCATTTGTTTTATACTGTATATTGTTGTTATCGTCATCCGTATCACTTTCAATTTCTACAGATTCAAGCAGTTGTTCGCCTAAGTCATTGTCAATTATAATAAATAGATGATATTTTCTGAATTTAACAAAATCTGACAAGAAACGAAAAGGAATATTTACTTTGACATAAAAGTTGTTTATAAGTAGCGAAGGTTTTAAAAATATAATGTAAACGTGAGAGAAAGATAGCGAAAGGTTTTAGTAATGTAACCCCTTGAGAAAAAAAAAGAGTGTAAACTTTATTAAACTTTTTATTAGTTACAAGCCACATTAAACAAACCATGTCACTGGTGAAAATCACCAGTGGTAATACGTATTTTTTTTTTATATTTATCCTTTACAAACTTTATACTAGATTTTTTATAAATTCTAATTGAGCTATTTTACAAGAAAAATATTTGATTCTATTTAAAAAAATTTTATTTAGATTTATGATCTATAAAGTAAAAGAATCGTTTATCTCAAATAAGTATAATAAACAATGTCGAGTTTAGAGTTCATCCCAAACGGAAACTTTAATAAAAATTGATATCATATAAGAACATTTGCTAACGCTAACACTATAAAGAATCCAAAATATTATGTAACAAGAAATTTCCAAAAGTTAACAATAGTGCTCCGAGCCGGTCAAATCGACCCGGGTCATTTGACCCGACTCGAGAAAAAATTTGAATCGGGACTATCATTTTATGTCACGAGTCCTAATTTCTTAAAACCCGTCGGGTTAGGGTCACGAATTTTCTTGATCCGGGTGACCCGAACGATCAGGTGATGTGATTAAATTATATAATTTAAATAATGAGCGAAACTATCAACTTACTTATTCCGGCAACATAGCTTCTCTTGGAAAACAAAAAGCATTGTGAAATGAGCTTTTGCCAAAGAACTTTAAATAAAAATTCAAATACATCGTGAAGCTAGATGTCAACTGCTCTTATGTATTTTTAATAGAGTATATATTGTTATTATTTTTATTTTTAAGAGATTTTATAGGACCAATCATGACGTCGCAATATATGTGATTCAGATACAACAAAGATTTGGTGTTATTTAGAGGATCATAATCCAAATAAAAAGAAATTGTTTTAATAAAGACGAATGTCCATGTTGAACGAGTTTAAATGTGTCTTAAAACCGATACAATTAGCGCGTGTTTGTGTTCCAATTTTTGGCAATAATATATTCAAAAAAATCAAATTTAAATTAATGTACTACCAAAAAGCTTCAAAACAATAAGCTTTCAAATTTAATGTACTTTTCATTAGCTGTATAAATAAAAAAAATTTTCGGTATAAATATTACCCTTAAAAATTCGGGTCGAATCCGAGTTAAACAATAATCAGGTCGGGTCGAACAATGATCGGGTCGAGTCGAATTCAGGTCCTGTAAATATTAACGGGTTCGAGTACGAATATGCTTCAAACCAGACCGACCCGACCCTTACGGAGCACTAGTTAACAAACACTTATACCAGTTTTTATTATTACCACACCATTAAATGTAAATAGAATTTTAATTTATAATTATTATACAGAGGGTTTCCAAAGTTATCGCATACTTTTTTGGTACGAATTTTAAGACGACAAACGATCTAAAATTATTCCTAGTAATTAAATTAAATTTTGTACTAAGCTGTTATTTGATTAGCCCCATTTTCATCGCAAACATCGCAAACGTCAAAAACATCGCAACCTCGTATAAACCGCAATAATTTTCACACGATTTGTTTTTCATTTATAATTTGAGATGACCATGTGAATTTTCCCACGCTAGCTATAAAAAGAATAAATTAAACAAAAAAATTAAAAAAATTGTTTTAACCTAACCTTAAAAAAATGGGCAAAGGGAAAGAGCTTACCGAGTCCCAAAAAGGCGCTATTCTTTATGGATATCAACCTGGTCATTCATGCCGAAAAATTGCAAGAATTTAGGATGTGGATCCTCCGCAGTTTCAGCTTGTATAAGAAGATATAAATCCACTGGATCCACTGATAAAAAGCCACGTCTTGGTCGACCGCGTCTTTTCACAACTCAAAATCGTGATCAACTTAAACAATTGGTTATGAACAAGAATAATCGTCGCAAATGTACCCGTGAAGTGCAAGCTTTTTGGAAAAGGAAGACAGGCAGGATGCTTCTACCCTTACTTTCCTTCGTGCACTTCATATTGCTGGATTGAATAATTGTGCAGATCGGCGAAAACCATTCATTTCGCCTGAAATATGTTGAAACGACTTGCATGGGCGAAAGAGCATGCACATTGAACTGTGCAAGCCTGGGAAAATGTTCTTTGGAGTGATGAATCAACTTTTTCAATCACGTACCAACCGGGTATGGCTGCCTTCTTGTTCTCAGCGACAGTGAAGCACAGTCCAAGTCGGATGTTTTGGGGACGTTTTTCTGCACATGGATTAGGGCCAATTGTCCCTCTAGTTGGTTCTGTAACTGGTGCAGTGCATATCGAAACTATACGCAAGCATGTTATTCCTATCATGAAGAGTTTTTTTTTCCAAAAGGTGATAGTCTTTTTCATGAGGATAATGCTCCTTGTCACCGAAGCGAAATTGCTGCAGAATTTCGTGCAAAAAAAAAATATTCAATCCCTTAAATGGCCTGCCAAAACCCTGACCTGAACCCGATCGAAAATTTATGGGATGAAATTAAAAAAAGCTTTCGAAGTCAAACAATAAAGTCAGCGTCACTTGAACGACAGATGTGAAAGGCTTGGAAATCAATTACATCTGAAAAAATCTAAAATTTAATCGAAAGTATGCCTCGACGAATTTAGGCGGTAATTGATGCAAATGGTTCCGACCAAGTATTAAACCCTTAATAGCATTTGTATTTTAATGTCTGGAAACATTATTTATTATTTGTAAATTGCTTAATTGTTTAATAAAATTTTGAGAAAATTCGTCGAAAAAGGTGTACGTAAACTTTTGGAAACCCTCTGTAAATTAGAACTTACATTCTAAATAGTTACGCCAGCAAAATTCGAAATGTCGTAGTCATAAATTTATACATTTCATGTCACATTTACGTAATATTGCAAGTGGCCTTGGTAATATTAATAATAAGGATATTATCCACCGTGATTTGCATAGTGGAATATTTTGATGATAAAAGTATAAATTATAATACTTTGATTACACTAAAATAGGAGGATACAGATCTTTGTAAATCTATTGAAAATGAAATCTATGTAATTATACCTTATGTGGACCCCAGAGATTTTTCAAGGAGAATGTTTTACCACGGCATAAGATATTTATTTCTTTAACATGCCTTTTTAGGATCAAATCCATGATACTGAATTGATAATTGATATAATTGATAGGGTACGTCTCCCAATTGATGTCAAAGCATTTAAAATGTATATTGCGCTAATGAAAGAATGTTGGTACTCTGATCCAAGTAAAAGCCATCAACTAAAGTTATTCAAAATAAATAAATATCATTAAAGATGTTGAAAAAATAGAACCAACTGATATTGTGTAAACATCTGAAACTTACAAGAGCAGATATTTAAACGATATAATAAATTCTATAGAAACTGCAAGAAGTTTACATTCTATTAATTATGATAATTAATTTGTTTCAACATTGTTGAATTGAAAATCTTTAAAAAAAATTATTAATTAAACGTAATTATTTAGCACCGTTTATCACCCTATTGTTTAATTATTTTTACTTTATAATTTATTGAAATTCATCTTAATCATCATTAATAAATAATTTCTCTTTTTTTAAAAAAGTAAAAAAAATTTAATATGGAAGATCTTGGCAAATGATGAAAATGATAAAGGCATGATATCAAATTATTTCCAGCATATGCGAATTTAAAAAAAAAGTTAGTTATTTTTTTGATTTATAAATAAACGTAAAAGAATTTGATATTATTCTAGATCACTACCTCAATAATATTTATCAATAAATTTTTTCAGTTTATAATATATATGCAAATTTCTCTAAAATAGATTTAAATTTTAATATCCGTCAAACAAAAAAAAAATAAATGGTTTGGAAAGTATAGACTTCACTAACACTGGCTGATCTTCTTAATTCTCCAAATAAAATAAGCATAAATTTTTACCTTAATTGGCTAGAAAAGGCAATTTCAAGTTTTTTATCAATTAATCCATAGTCAAGACAATGCTAAGTGGTTTTAAGATAAAAGATATATTATTAATTAATTTTATTTATCAGTCAGAAATATTGCTTTGCATTATAAAATATTTTTATTTTTCTTAACCAAATTTTTTGATCTAGTTAAACATTAATTAAAACAATATATCATTTTATAAAATTGTTGTAATTACGATATAGAAGTTTTGCAATATAAAGTGAGTATATTTTTAAAGCAAAATGTCCTAAATTAAAAAAATAATTTATTTTATAGTTTCATATGCAAAACATTCATCTATCTTAACTTATTCATAATTTAAGCAAAATGTGTAATCAGAACAGTGACTTTCAGGTTGTTTATCATTGTTAAATGGCTTACATAAATGATTGAAGCATTATTTTACAGAAGTAAATGCTTTCCAGTTATGTATTTCAGTTGAACTTACATTAGTACTTATTGGGAATAAATATGTTTTTCCAAATATGATGTACAAAGCTTTCTTTGTCTTAGAAGTCAGCAAACCTCAGAAACTTCTATGCTTGTATGTAAGCTATTAAAAAATAAATTTTGTTATTTAAAAGCTTAAATAAATAAAGCAAATTGTTCTAATATTACCTGTTTATTTATATTTTTATTGTAAAAAACCCACCAGCAGATTTCACTTAAGTTTTCAAAAAATTCACCATGGTTTTTAACCATGTAATCTATCATAGTATCATAAATTCATCCTTATTAGAATATATATTTTCGTTAAATAAATTTTTCGCAACATTATTTACGATATCTTAAATAAATTAAATATTAATGGTAAATAATAGTAATATAATATAAATATAATATAAACATAAAAAGTTTATTATTTTCATGAATTTCTTATTTATATTCTTTTCTTTGTAATCCACCTCCATTTTTTCAAACCTTTTTTCAATCGCCTTTCGTCTCATTATTAATTCTTTGATCTTTTTTTTTATTTGCGTATTTTATCTTAAAATTTTCTCCAAAATTCTTATAGTCTTATTTCCGTCTGTTTTGATTCTTGTATTAAAAATAATAATAATTTCAATAAAATAAAAAAATTAGAAAAATAATTACCATCTAGATCAATAGAACTATTTAATCTAAATATTTGAGTATTCAGTTTCAGATGATTTCTTCTTGTTCTCTTTTGTTATGAAGTGAAGGATTCAGCTTCTTTATTGCGTCTTTTATTTTTTGAGATCAAATTACTGAAGATCATTCTAGTTTTGCAACAGATTTTGTGATTTTTGGTATTTTAAATTTAGAATTAAAAGAAATCATATTTTGATATAATTAATTAAGTTTATGTGTTGATGTAGATTTTTTTTGTGTATATAATTAGTAGAAATTGAGAAATACTTCGTGTATTTATAAATATTTTCAAAATACAAAATTTTGTTATTATAAGAATAATTTATAATAATTAAAATGCAGAATTAAACACATTATGTTAAGAAGATAATATGTGTAATAAATAATTTTATTTTATTATGTCATAAATTTTGAATTTTTCTTAACAATTACATGATAAAAATTTAAAGATACATTCTGTTTTAAATGTAAATAATATGCATGTTTGATAAAATATATTCTATTTATTCTTAATTTTGAAGAAAACAAACAATTTTTTATATTCATTTCTTTTTTTAATTGTCCTTCAATTTCTTTGATCAAGTGTCTAAGTATAAAATTTGAATAATGAATTATATATTATTTCGCTAATTTCAAATTTTTGCTGCGACTAATGAAATATTAATAAAGACATCATTTTTAATATTTTAATAATTTATTAATAATAAAATATTCTGCACATAACGGTAAATTATCTGCATATAAAATATATGGGGGAAAAAAAATAAAAAATACTTAATATTTACAGAGTAGTATATAGACTTACAATACATCTTATTATTTTTTTTTTTATCATGAAAAAATTTTAAGTTTATAATTATATTATTTTGTATTAAACTAGGGAATAGGATCAGTTCAAAGTCCAAAGCAAGGTATGGTATATAAATTATAATATCATATTTCACATGATTAATTATTTTGTAATACAAAAGATATAACACATAATAACGTAAACAAAATGTCATTGGTTATCAGGCTTGTCAAATTTGGACAGACAGAATGACCTTGCATTTAAATGACCTAGAAGTAAAATATTCTCCGCTATGCTTCGAACAATCATTTAAGGTAAAGTCATATGTTGTACATATGTAAAATTTATTCTTAAAATAATAAATTTAGAAAATTTATTTTTTTCATTCTACTTAATTCGAATAATAATATATTACAATACATAAGAATATTCGACAAATATGTTCTATTCGTATAACAAAATAATTTCTCACATAAAACCCTAAAATTCATTCACTTTTTTTTATGAATTAACTTAGCAGAATATCATTTATTGATATATTTGCTTGTTTGTTTGTTTTGCTTAGAAGTTAATAATTTACAACCAAAGCATTATAACATTTGCCAGCCAAATATTTAGTAAATGAAGTGTGAGCAAAGTAAAAATCCATATACCAATGCTTTTGTAAATGCATGCCTTTATTTTGAATATAAAAATTTTGACGTTAGAATACGTTACATATTCTTCTTTTCTAATATCATGAGAAAATGGAAATTATAAGGCATATAAAAGGGAGTATAACAAAAATTAGAATATTTGTCACTATAAAGTGATTTATTTTGTTTTAAATCTGATATATACTATTTTAAAATTTCATTGTCTTCAGTAATATATAATAATATTTGTAATTTTTTAGTTAAATTCACCTTCAGAATATATAATAGCATTTTTTATTATTTTTCAATAGTAGATGATAATATGTGATATCCAAAAATGAGCTGAAAGAAGTAATTCATCAAGTGATTTAAGTGGTGAAAAAAAATTATATTCAAAGGTTAAAAAAATATCAAAGTTTGTTGAATCTCAAAGTGAAGAAGCATATTGTATATGATTGATATAATATTCAAGTATGGTTAAAAGTTCTTCCAATCAGAAAACCTGGTTATATTTCTATAACTTAGGTTAAAGTATATCCAATAAATATCGAAAAGGAGTTGAAAATGAACATATATCATGTTTATTACTAGTAGGTCATTTATATTAATATTGAAACATCATTAATAATAAGAGTATACCCTATAAATAATATAGGGTTGACCCAATGGCCAATAAATCCAATGGACCAATAGCCAATAGATCCAATGGATGTTGGTTTATTGAAAAAGTCCAATGGATCTATGGAAGACATTGGATCTATTGAGATCATTAATTTAATTGGTTAATTTATT